GCTATGAACTTCCTTCTCAGAACTGCTTTTGCTGCATCCCATAGATTTTGTGTTGTTGTGTGTTCATTTTTCATTGGTTTCCAGGAAGTTTTTAATTTCTTCCTTGATCTCCATGGTAACCCATTCATTGTTCAATAACATGCTATTTAGCCACCATGTTTTCAAATGTCTTTGCATGTTCTTGTTGCAATTGATTTCTAGTTTCATGCCATTGTGATCTGAGAAGATGCTTGATATGATTTCAATCTTCTTGAACTTGTAGAGACTTAGTTTGTGCCCTAACATGTGGTCTATCTTTGAGAATGTTCCATGTGCACTTGAGAAGAATGTGAATTCTGCAGTTTTGGGGTGTAATTCTCTGTAGATATCTCTTAAATCCATTTGATCTAGCACTTCATTAAGAGTCTGTGTTTCTTTATTAATTTTTTGTCTAGGTGATCTATCCAGTGATGTCAGCGGGGTGTTGAACTCCCCTGATATGATTGTATTGCTGTCGATTTCTCCTTTGAAGTCCTCCAGAAGATTTTTAATATATGTTGGTGCTCCTAAATTGGGTGCATATATGTTTATCAAGGTGATATCTCCCTGTTGGATAGATCTTTTCAATATTACGTAGTGGCCTTCCTTGTCTCTAGTTATGGTCTTCATTTTGAAATCTACTTTATCAGATATGAGTATTGCTACCCCGGCTTTTTTTTGCTTTTCGTTTGCTTGAAAGGTTTTTTTCCATCCCTTCACGTTCAACCTATGTGAGTCTTTTGTTGTGAGGTGGGTCTCTTGTAAACAACATATATGTGAGTCACGCTTTCCTATCTAGTCAGTTACTCTGTGTCTTTTTATCGGAGCATTCAAACCATTCACATTTAAGGTGATAATTGATATGTACTTATTTATTGCCATTTTTGTTTAGTGTGGTTCTATTTTTCTTCCTATTTCTTCTACTAATTATAGCAGTCCTTTTAGCATATCTTGCAGTGCTGGTTTGGTGTTAATATATTCCCTTAGCCTTTTTTTTGTCTGGGAAGCTCTTTATTTGACCTTCTATTTTGAATGATAGCCTTGCTGGATAGAGTAGTCTTGGATTCAGATCCTTGTTTTTCATGACCTTGATGACTTCATGCCACTCCCTTCTGGCCTGAAGTGTTTCTGTTGAGAAGTCAGCTGAGAGCCTTATGGGGTTTCCTTTGTAGGTAACCTGTTGCTTATCTCTTGCTGCCTTTAGGATTCTCTCTTGGTCTTTCATTTTTGGCATTTTAATTACTATGTGTCTTGGTGTGGGCCTGTTTGGGTTCCTCTTACTTGGGGCTCTCTGTGCTTCTTGAACTTGAATGCCTTCTTCCTTCACCAAATTAGGAAATTTTTCTGTTTCTATTTCTTCAAATATATTCTCTAACCCTTGCTCATTTCCTTTCTCTTCAGGGACTCCTATGATGTGAATGTTATTACGTTTCCAGTTGTCCCACAGTTCTCTTAAGCCGTCTTCCTGTTTTTTTATTGTTTTTTCCTTTTGCTTTTCTGATTGGTTGATTTTTCTACCCTGTCTTCTAATTCACTAATCTAGTCCTCGGCTTCCTCTACTCTGCTGGTTAGTCCTTTCAATGTGTTATTTATTTCTGCTATGTCATTCTTCATTTCCACTTGGTTGGTTTTCAATGTTTCTATATCTTTACTCATGGTGCTGATGTCCTTACTCATGCTGTTGAGCTTCCTCAAGATCATGGCTCTGAACTCAACCTCTGATAATTTGCTTAGCTGCATTTCATGGATCTCATCTTTGATAGAGTTCTCTTGTTCTTTCATTTGGGATTTGTTTCTTTGTTTCACCATTTTGGCTATCTCAGTGGGTTTTGGAACCTGCCAAATTTTCCCTGTGGGTGTTGGTGTTCTGCTGTTTGTGGCTCCCTCTACTGGGTTTGGATGAGCCTGGGTGGGCCCACATTAAACACCACTGTCAAGTCTTACTTTCCTGGGTAGATTTGCAAGCACAGGAAAGGTTCAGTTATCCTCTAGCTTTTTCCTGGAGGATAAGTAGTCTCAGTTACTCAGTGCCTTGGAATGTAGCCCTGGTGTTCTGCATAAAAGGATTTCCAGAGGGGGGATAGATGCTGGTTATTAATGAGCCTCAATATGCATTTCTTTGCCTCACCAGGGAAAGGCTGAATCTCCAGGGGGCGGGGGGCTGCTGCTTTTCCCCCACAGCTCTGGGAAGGAGCACACTGGCCAGTCTTTTGTGGCCACAACTCAGCAGAAACTCTGAGTGCCCTCCAAATCCCGGGTTTCCCCACAGAATTCTAGCCCGGTCTGCCCTCCCTCTGCTGTAGCCCCCAGGTGAGTGGCTGTGGCTATTTTAGTACTCTGTCCTGGCTCTCTGTGCTGTGGAGTAGGCTTGGTCTTTATTCCCCAAGGGCGCTACTCACCGCTAAGACTGCTGCTGTCTGTGGGCTCTCAGCCCTCCACCCTCTCATGACTCCACAGATCCTACCAGTGTCCCTGGTTATACGGTCCTGTCCTGCTGCTTTTCTGTCGCCTTCTTCTGAGGATTTGTCTTTATTTTAGTTGTAATTCTCATTTGGTCCTGGGAGATCGTCTGTGTAACTTCTATTCACTCTGCCTCCATTTTCACATCTTCTTTGCCTATCTTGTGCGCAGCTGGGTGGCACAGGCCTTTCTGGTGCTCTTGCACCCTGCAGGTCCTGCGGGTAACTGGATCACACAGTCCCTTTGGGGACCCAGCTCTATGCCTATGTTATGGGCTGCTGGGTCTCACAGGCCTCTCTGGTGCTTCAGCACCCCGCAGGTCTGGTGGGTAACTGGATCACACAGTCCCTGCTGGGTCACACAGGCCTCTCTGGTGCCCCCACACCCTGCAGATCCTGTGGACGGGCAGCTGGATCACACCAGTCTCTCTAGGGCTCCGGCTTCCCACTGCTCTTGTGAACTGCTGGACTGCATAAGCCTCTGTGGATCCCCAGGTCCCGCTGCTGGAGGCTGGGGAGTTCTGCTGCCCCATGGGGCTCAACTCCTGCTCAGCTTTTGCTGTAGTTTTTGGGGGATGGGTCTCAGCTGCTGGTCTGTGCTTCTGTTGCCTGGGGATGGATGTCTGCTCTTCAGCCTCTGTTGCTGGGGGTATATATCGAATCTGATCAGGCTGCTACTATGGGGGATGGTGCTGGGCTCCAGGCTGTCTGCGGCTTCTGTGACCAGCACCTTGGGAGCTCCACTACTGTGCAGGGGTCTGTGTTGACACAGAGTGTCCACTGGTCCCATGGTGCCAGGTGTGCTTGTGGGCTCAGGTTGCTGGGCCCTAACAGCTCCCACTGCCTCCTCCCAGGGAAGACTGGGGATCTTGCAAAATGGTGGGACCTCCTCACCCTGCAGGGAGAAGTGCCCCGAAGAGCCACTTACCGCAGTAGCCAGCTGCTCCATCCACAGCACAGGAACCTTCTGCTCTGTGGCTCTGCATTGCTTGGGTTTGGTCGTCCACCTTCAGGTCCACTCACACTCTCTCACACACTAGCTCACTTTCTCACACACTCACCCTCCTTCCGGTCCTGTCCACTGCCATCTGGAGAATCCATCCTCTATGTTTCTAACACTGGCTCCTGCCTCCATCTGAGTGGTCACCCAAACTGCCCATCAGAGGAGCCCTTCCTCAGCTGGGGCCATGTACTTTTCTTCTCATCACAGTGTGTAAAGTGAACTTCTTCAAACAAATGCGTAAGATCAGCTGGCATTTGGGGGGCGTTCCCATACTCACATGGAGGTTGTGGCCAACCTGTGATTTCCCCATGGGTGCCTCTTTCCTAAGACCCATTCCTTGGATCTCTTGGTTGGCTCGCCAATAATTACATGTAAAATTTCCTGGGGCTGATAGCTCCATTATTCCATCCAGAATTTATTAAGGAGGAGTGTCTTGGGCTGTGGTAAAATGACCTGGCTATTCTGCACCCCATGTGGCTGGTGCTGAGGGGTTGTATCGGACAGGGCAGGCAGGGCAGGATGGGCAGAGGTGACCCACCCCAGAGAAGGGAAAATGCCTTGCATACTTGCCTGAGGCAGGGCAACAGCCTGTTGCAACAACCTTGCCTGAGTAATAGGGGCGAGGCTGATTAGACAGTATCTGGGGGTATTTTCCAGGAGCAGCCTCTTTATGGTCAGGATCTGGCTGGTGGTGGACGAGGCAGCAGTCAGGTCATGGAATAGTCTCTCCCCACAGGAAGAGAAACATTTTGACTTCTATTGTTGACTGATTCCAGTGGTGTAAATACTCCTTCTGTAGCTGATTTCAACCTACCACACATGTCACTGAAGAGGGACCTGGGGAGAGATATCACTGTTGGGCTTTGGTAAGCCAGCCAATAGCAGCTGGCCTCAGCATGCCACCCACCCTACCCCCACAGTTTCTGCTTAGTAGGTCTGGGTTGAGACCTAAGATGTTGCATTTCTAACAAGTTTCCAGGTGATGCAACCCTAACTGTACATTAGAATCACATGGGAAGCTTTGAAAAATTATTGCTATTTGGGCCCCACCCTGGACCAGTTAAATCCAGACTATGTTTAGTGGGACCATGGCATCAATGTTTTTAAAATGTCCCCAGCCCTGGCTGGTTTGGCTCAGCAGTTACAGCGTCAGCCCACAGACCAAAGGGTCTCGGGTTCGAATCCTGGTCAAGAGCACGCACCTGGGTTGCAGGTTTTTTGATCCCTGGCTCCGGGGGTCATGCAGGAGGCAACCAATCATGTGTCTCTCATACTGATGTTTCTCTTTCTCTCTCCCTTCCACTCTATCTAAAAATCAATAGAAAAATATCCTCAGGTGAGGATTAACAACAAAAAAATTGTCCCCAGGTGATTCTAACAGACAGCAGAGTTGGAGAACCACTGACACTTAAAGAATGTAGCAAAGTCTTTAGGGCCATTTGTCTCTTCCGGAGGCATGATTGACGGCCTTGGGGAACAGTGGGAGTACTAATGGGTGTGCTTTGGCTGTGTGCACCCAGACATACGGCAGCCCCAACAAGAAGCACGTGGGGGTGATCCTGCAGAGGGGCACGCTCATACTGATGCTCTGCTGCTTCCCCTGCTGGGCGCTCTTCCTCAACACCCAGCAGATCCTGCTGCTCTTCAGGCAGGACCCGCACGTGTCCAGGTAAGATGGGCCATGCCAGGGCGGGATGGGGCCATCCCAGCAGAAAGATGCTCCCACCCAAGTTTAGCCTCTGGAGATGACGAAGGCCAGGGACAAGGCCACGCATCAGGAGGTGGGAAGCCTTCCTCAGTTGACATCTACCAGGTCTTCGTGCCTGGTCTTCATGCCTGGCACATCTGGCACCTCAGATCTAGACCCCTTCTCACCTGGGCAACTTCAAAGGTAAATCGTTTTGAAAGAAATAGGATTTGCCAACATCCTCCAGGTGAGATGGTCATTTATGGTATTTATCTGTGGTTTTGTGATGATTGACCCTAGTTGGTAGTAACATCAGCTCCGCGATTGAAAGCCCACAGCTGCCTGGTTGTCTTTCCCTCCCAGCGTTCTGTGTTAATTGGCCTGGGTGCAGCCTGGGCATCAGTGCCTTTCGAAGGTCACCTAGGTGATTGCCATGTGCTGCCAAGTTTGAGACCCGCTGCTTTAGTTCAAGACCTTTAAAAGTCCTTGTCTTAGACCAGCGGCCCTGAACCCAGGGGACATTTGGCAATGTCTGGAGACTTTTCTGGTTATCAGAACTGGTATTTGGGCAGCGCTACTGGTAGTAACCCAAGATGCTGCAAACCATCTTAGGACACACAGGAAAGGTCCCTACAGCAGAGAATTAACCAGACATGGTGCCGAGTTTGAAAGTCGCTGTCCTAAATCTAAAGACTTGGAGGAACCAAGAGAGGTAATTTGGGTTATTAAATGACAAGTTCTATTGTAAATTTTCACATTTGCTCCAGCAGTTTAAGTTCATTATGTAGAAAGAGCCAAGATTGTGAAAAGCAATTACAGCTGGTTCATCCTGCCTGCCTTTCCCTGGAAATGGAGACCTCCAGTCACTTTTGTTTTCTTTTTATTGTGTAGGCTCACCCACACCTATGTCATGATCTTCATTCCAGCTCTCCCTGTAAGTTTTCAAATGTTAAGCTGTTTTCTTGTGGTTCACTGATAAAAGGCAGCTGAGCTGCCCATGAGCTCAATGAATTGGATCCATCTTATAAGATAACCACGTGGCGTTGGCTCATTCAAGAAAGTGCGGTTTTAATTATGCCCATGAAAGACACAAACATTTGTCCCTCAAGAAATACCAAGGTTAAAGTGACTCTACTAGGCCACTGTCCTGAACTCATGGCTGGAGGGTCCTGCAGAACCATGCACAGAGAGCCCAGGCCTTCTTTTTTTTTTGGTATAGGGGTAAATTCTTCAGCATCTTCGAATGCCTGAGGGCCTCACTCTGAGCTTTTAGACTTTTTTTTTACACTTGCTGAATATGATCACACAGAACCATAAGTGTGTGTTAATGTTTAATACCGCCCTGTGTGGTCAACGAACGGTCTAAGCTAGCATCGCTCAGCGGGACCCAGCAGCTGTGCAGCTGTGACTTGGGTGGACGGCAGAGACAGTGGTGGTCCCAGAGGGTGATCAATGAGCTTGTGAGGGAGGAAGATGTTTCCTCTGCCTTAAGGTTCTTCTGGCTGGTCTAATAATCAAATAGACATGAAACAGATGAGCAAGAGAAAAATAACCAAATTTAATACATAATGTGGATGAAAAAGAGGCCACATACTAAACCTTCCAAGCTCAGGGGAGGCCTGCATGGTGGCCTTACAAACTCAGAGACCGAAAGTAACCACGTAGGATCATCTGAAATGAAAGCTTCCTAACTAAAAGCGTGTCACAGCAGGTAGGCATGCCCTAGTCCAGTATCTTCCTTGACAAAGGTCAATCTGTACCGTACCTGAGCCTGTGTGTTGTCTTTTTGCATCTGTGATAACATGCTTTGACATGTCAGCATAATCCTCTTTTTCCAGACCCCTCAGGGCACAACGTCTCCCCCAGAGCAGGAGACCCCTCACTGTTACCCTGTTCTCTTGCGTACCATCCCTGTGTGCTGTAAATGCTGGCTGCTAACTCTCCTGGACCCACCGGTGTAAAATCAGTCTGTGTCTATTATTTTACTTTTAATCCAACCCCAGAGGTTTCCCTGCTTTGCTTTCTCCCGCCTCCCTACTCTGTTACCAGCCACGTGATTTACCCCCCTTACGTCTTCTCTACGACTCTAATGTGTAAAATGAGGAGCAAAACTGCCATTCTCTGGAGCATTTTCTCAGTCCGTTGAGATTTTGCCTTCTGGCAACTGTCATGTTTGGCTCAAATAAACTCATGAAATTCTCTCCAGGTTTGGACATTTCTGATGTCGACAGTACGTATGAATGAGAATGCCGCACATGTGAGAGACCCCACATGCGGGAGACGCTCAGGGAGAAAGGGGGGTCTGGGTATATAAGATGTTCTGAGCTCAGGATGAGGTAAAGCGTTTTGGGGACTGCAAAGGGTTGTTGTAAAATAATAAAAAGAGCAGGTGTTCATTAAATAAAGGTTTTCCCTTCATATGGGTGAGTCTAAAAGGTTATTGCTGATAATCTTTTATTATGGACAACACCCCTAATTCAGGTTCCTCTAGACAGTTAAAGGGAGGAGCAGAAGTCTCTCTTGAACCTGAAGCTACAATGGCCTTTAGCTCAGAACAAACTGCACACCCCTGAGGCCTGTCTTGGCGCGACTTCCGGGCACCACAGGCTGAAACATTCCCGGCGCCTAGTGAAGCTGTAGCTGCGCCAACACAGCAGCACAGCGCATTGCACACGTGCTCACCATTGTGCTGCAGCTGCCCGCGCCCAGGGCCGTGCCACGCTGGACAGACTTACAGCCTAGGAGCTGCCGGGGAACAACTTGTCACCCGAAAATATGTCTCTTTGGCAGAAGGGTTATTGTAGGCTGGTTAATTTTCAGAAACAGCAGACAAAGGAGAAGCTCTGGAAACCAAGTAAGAGTTGCCCTTTGTAAAACGCACTTGCATTTGTAAGGGCACTCTCCATGGGAGTGTGACCTCGTCTGCAGAAACGGTGCAGAAGACAAGCACTTAAATCTGCACAGTAACCTGGCCTGTGACTGTGCTTTTCCTGGTCACTTCCCATAACTGACTCCCCCAACCCCATTATCTTCTTCTGTCTTCAGCTGAAGATGGTATTTAAGGTGATTCCTTCAGTCATTTTGGTGACTCACTGTTTTCTTGGGAGGTATACGTATTATTAAACTTTAGTTTGTTTTACCCGTTTTTTTTTGTTTTTAATTTTTTTCCCCTTTATTGGTTTTAGAGAGAGAGGGAGCGAGAGAAAGAGAGAGGTAGAAACATCAATTGGCTGCCTCCTGCATGCCCCCCAATGGGGATCGGACCCACAACCTGGGCATGTGCCCTGACCGGGAATTGAATTGGCTACCTAACCACTGAGCCACACTGGTGGGCAAGTTTTCTTCTGTTAATCTGTCTTTTATTGCAGGGATGTCTCAGCCAAGAGCCCCAAAGGGTTAGAGGAGAACTCGTTTTCCCTCCCCTGCGGAGCAGTAGGTGGCAGCAGACAGCCTGGGTGTGTAGGAGGCTGTTGTCCTACTTCTGTGTGTGCGGCTGGATGTTCGCACAGAACGAACTCACCTAGGGATGCACCTGTCAGATGTACTCCCGTAGTAAGCTGTGAATGACTGTACTAGTTTGCTAGCTGCTGTAACTAAATGCCACAGATTGGGTGGCTTAAATGCAGAAATCTGTTTTCTCATAGTTTTGGAAGCCGAAGGCCCAAGATCAAGGTGTCGCACTTGGGTTTCCACTGGGCCTTTCTCCTTGGCCAACAGACAGCTGCCCTCGGCCTGTTCACATGGTCATGGCCTCCTGTGCACGCACCTTTTGTGTCTCTTGTCTTATAAGGACACCAGTCCAATTGGATTAGGCCCATCCTAATGGCCTCCTTTTGATTTAAGCACATCTTTAAAGACTGTCGCCAAATACAGTCACATTAGGGATCAAAGTTTTAACATATGAATGGTAGATACACAATTTGGCCCTTAAAAGGAGCTATTTGCTCTCATTAATTGGTATTGTGGTCTTTAATTTATCCTGAGAACTTAAAATGTTTAGTATTCATTAATTATTCCACCAGAGAGGACTGTAGCCTGGTCTAGAAAGGAGGCCCCGGAGTTTGCCCAAGGGGCTTCCTCTGCACTGACAACCTGCAGAAGGTCCTGGCGGTGCGTCCAAGGAGCCCGCCCCAGCCCAGGGCCGTCTGGACACCTCGGCTCTGGACACCTCTGCTCCCTCCCGACCCCTCACGCCCTCCTCAGACGACACCCCTTCAGCTCCTTGAGGGACAGAGGTGTCAAGCAGTGGCTGTCAGCTCTCTGAATGGACAGGCCAAATGTTAACATGCATTTGTGATTCTCTTGTAGGCAACGTTTCTTTACACATTGCAAGTGAAGTATTTGCTCTCCCAGGTAATGCAGACTTTCCTTTTTCTTTCTTTTCTGGGGCTAATGGGAGTTTACAGCTTTCAGGGATGGGGAGCCCCGAATATTCAGAGACCAGGGAGCCTGGGATGAGGAGCTCGTCGCCAGGAGCCGCTGCCTTCAATTCCTCCCCTGTGCCTTCTCCCCCGTTACTTCGGAGGGTTTTACCTCGCCTCCCTGGGGCCGGGCTTTCCCTGGTCAGCCGCACACCACACTGCTCCTTTTTACCTTCTACCTGAAATGCAAATCTGATCACCTAACTCCCTTGCTTAAAACTAACCAGGGCCTCCCGATAAATAAGTGACCCACGTAGTGGTGAGCCAAGACCCTGTCCGGGCCCCTGAGCCCAAGACCACCGGGACCACCAGAGACAAATGTGCAGTCCAGCAGTCAGGTTTATCAACCTACAGAGAGATCAGAGTCCTTGGGTTCTCACCAAACAAAGACAGATGGAGTTTGGATGAAACCCCAAAGAAGCCGGGCCTGGGCGGCTCAGAGCGAAGCAGGCTGTGAGGGAAGAAATCAGCGCCGTCTGCACACCCTCCACCCAGGGCCCTCCTTGGAAACTGCAAAGCTTGGACAGACGTCAATTTCTGTGTCAGGAAGCCTGGTGAAACTTCCCCCTGGGTTGGAGATTCAGGCTGTTTTGTTTGTATGAAACTGACTTCAATCCTCCAGGCAAGAGCGGGAGGTTTTATTTTTGCTGATATAATTTCAAACAGCAAGACTTTTAAAAAATGTGGTTTTAGAAAACCAAGTTTCTCAGAGAGTAGGAAAGCAATCGTCGTTCCAAGAAGAGGGCGAGCAGAGGGCGACGCGGTGTTTCCTGTTCCCTGGCCGCTGGCTCAGTCTGCTGGGTTATTACGCCCGGGCAGGCGAGACCCGGCTGCTTCCTTAGCCCAGCGCCCTGCACGCGCATGTGTCCGGCTCAGTCTGAGATGCCAAATGAGACCGGATGTTTCTGCCCCTGCACTTAGCAGCAGAGCCAGATATGATGGAATATGTTCCACACCCCAGTTTCACAAGCTCTGCTTAGGTCAGTTTTCCCAATTCCCATTTTGGTTGAGAGAGTGTTACACTTTCGCCCACAGTCTAAGGTGGAAAGGAACTTGTTTATGCTTTTAACCCCTGCCGGTCCTTGCACTCTTGTAGACAAGCCATTTCTCGCCTCTCTGCTGCCTGCCCACCTCCTGCCCAGGTCTTGGCGGCCAGAACCGAGTTCTTCACGGCTCAGAGAGGAGGAGGAAGGCGGTGTTGGGAGGGTGGGGATGTAAGAGCAGCAGGGACCGGCATCCACAGTTGGGACGCCTCGCTCACCTGTGACTGGCTGTCACACAGGCCTGTTCCGTGGATCTCCAGCAGGGTGTGGTCTCCTCATTTTAGGGAATCCTACTGCCTCAGATCCTAACTGGAGTCGCGGCCAACATTGTCAATGCCCTCGTCAACTATCTGTTCCTCCATCAACTGCATCTTGGGGTGATGTGAGTCCAGCCAATTCGTGGAACAGGGAGAAGTAATGACCTGCATGTGGCTTTTCCAGGGAGGTGGGGGAGAGTGAGCCTTTTACCTGGTCATTGTGTCCCTGTGTGGTCCCCTCCTTGAACCTCTCTGGAGAATACAGTCGGGGATGGAGAGGAGTCCTGCCCTGGAAAGATGACCTCGGGCCTGCCGCAGACATCCCCGCAGGGCACGGGCGCTCATCTTCTGTGAGGCTGGGAGCGTGAAGAGCGGCCCCTCACTGGGACTGTTCTTCCCAGGGGTTCAGCACTCGCAAACTTGATTTCCCAGTTCTCCCTGGCTCTGTTCCTCTTTCTCTACATCTTCTGGAAGAAACTGCATCAAGCTACCTGGGGAGGTAAAGGCTGTCATTTGTTTTTCAACTTGGACATGGGTTGCGTCTGGGGTTGAGCTCCAGGCTGATGGCCAGGTGTACTGTGAATGTGTCTGTCCTGCCTGCAGGGTGGTCCCGGGAGTGCCTGCAGGACTGGGGCTCCTTCTTCCACCTTGCCGTCCCCAGCATGCTCATGCTGTGCATCGAGTGGTGGGCCTACGAGATCGGGAGCTTCCTGAGCGGTCAGTGCGGGGACGGGGGACGCTGGTGGAGGCACGGGCCCTGGCCGAGCTCAGGGTCAGCTGTCTCTCTCCCGCAGGGATCCTCGGCATGGTCGAGCTGGGAGCCCAGTCCATCGTGTATGAACTGGCCACTGTTGTATTCATGGTGAGTGTCCAAGACTGGTCGTGTGGAGGTGCTAACTGTGTCTCTTGAAAGAGTCCCAAGGTGAGTGTAGGTGTTCATAACCTTCAGTCATAATTTGTGACATGATTCAAGGAAGTAAAATTTTATCCTAGAAACTGTGAGGGTCCTTTTGGTTTGGTGGGGTCTTCCTGTGAGCTGAATAGGGCTGGGGAAGCACTGAAGGACTCGTGCACTGCCAGTCTCCATCCCTTACCATGGTTCACGTCTGAAGATTTCATTGGATTGGCCATATTGCCAACAGTTTTCACAACACAAATGCCTTAAGGGCAGAGGGGCATAAGGGTGATTGCACTGGGTTTACTCTGTAAAGGCCAAGCACCTTGTGTCTCAACAAGCTCTGCTCCTGCCTCGGTCTGACGCTTCTTAAAACTTGGTCAGACACCAAGGTTAGACCTCAAAGACCCAAAAGCAGGGTCTAGAGCACATCTGTACACCTATGTTCACAGCAGCATTATTCATGGTACCTCAAAGGTAGAAACAACCCAGTTGTCTGTCCACAAATGAGTGGCCAAAGAAAATATGGTCTATCCACACAGTTACATGTTTATTAAGCCTTGAAAAAAAGGGAATTTTGATATGCTAGAGAAGAGCCCCAGTTGTTAGAGGCTTTATTTAGACTTTGTTTCACTGGAAACATCAACTGGAAGTTCTGATGGGCTTTCTTCTCTAGCTAGCAAGTGTCACTTGAGAAATATGAAATGAAAGATGGGGACAGAGCAGGAGTGTGCAGTGTGGAAAGAGCCTGAATCCAGCACATGAGGTTTGGCATTGTTTGTGCTAACACCTAGACTGCCCCGCCCCCAGATTGGTTGTATTTTAAAGATACAGAGGTATGCATTTTCTGTGGGGTTTTTTGTTGTTGTTGTTGTTGTTAAGAATCATTCCCTTGAGCCCTGACCGGTTTGGCTCAGCAGTTACAGCACTGGCCCGCAGACCAGAGAGTCTTGGGTTTGATTCCAGTCAAGGGCACATACCTCGGTTGCACTTTGTCCCAGGCCCTGGTCAGGTCGTGCGAGAGGCATCGTTGATGTGTCTTGTTCACAATGATGTTTCTCTCTCCCTCTGCCTCCCCCTCTCCCTCCCTCCCACTTTATCTGAAGATAAATGGGAAAAAATATCCTTGGGTGACGATTTAAAAAAAAAAAAAAGAATCATTCCCTTGAGAACTTATGTTTTGTTTGTTTTTGTTCTCTATTCTTGGCAGAATTTTAAAGTGTCTTACTTCAACACTTTTATATTTATATGTATTTTGGATTTCGGTAATTTCAGGAACTATATCTGACTCAAAATGCTTAATGGTACATTGTATGTACTATACTTTTTAAACCGATCTCCTGCTGTTGAGTATTTAGTTTGTTTCCAGTGTTTCACTATTATTATTATTATTATTATTTTATCTTCACCTGAGGAGTTTTTTTCTATTTTTGTTCAGATAGAGTGGGAGGGAGAGAGTGGGAGGGGGAGAGAGGAAGAGAGAGAGAGAGAGAGAGAAACATCAGGGTGAAAGGAACACATCGAGTGGCTGCCTCCTGCAAGACCCCGTTGGGGATGAATCACAACTGAGGTATGTGCCCTTGGGCAGAATTGAACCTACAACTCATTGGTCCACGGCCCATGCTCTAACCCCTGAGCCAAACTGGCCAGGGCTCAATATTATTAATCACACTTCAGTGAATATCTTAGGACAAATATCCTTGTATACTTGTTTGATTATTTCATTAAGACAAATTCCTAAATAGGAAAGGTAATTACAGTTTTAAGTCTTTTGCACACTGTATATTGCCACATGCTTTCCAACAGACTCACAAGAATTCATGTTTCTCCCTAATCAAAAGATTTTTACCCTTTACTTATAGTAATCAACTGTTTACATTTCACCCCATACACTTGCCCTATCTATCTCTGTCTATCTATCTATCTATCTATCATCTATCTATCTATCTATCTATCCATCCATTCGCCCACCTATCCATCCATCAATCTCCACAGCTTGTATTCAGACTCCATCCATTGTTCTGATAATGTCCTTTATAACTCCCCCCATTAAGGTGTCACAACTCTTTAGTGTCCTTCAATCTAAAACAGATCTTGCCCTGGCCTGTTCGGCTCAGCGGTAGAGCTTTGGCCCCGGGCCCTGGTCGGAGTGAGAGGCAACCAGTCAATGTGTTTCTCTCACTCATGTTGATGTTTCTCTCTATCTCCCTTTCTCTCCCTCCCACTCTGTCTGAGGATGAATAAAAAAATATCCTCAGGTGAGGATTAAAAAACAATAATAAATAAAATAAATTAAAATAATAAAATAAAATAATAAAACAGATCCCCAGCCTTTCTTTGTCTTTCTTGACCTTGGTCTTTTAGAAGAATAGAAGCTGTTACATACCGACTTTCCCTCAGTGGTTGTTGCTGACACTACTTCATGAGCACATACTACATTTGATGTGTTAGACAGACATGAGCAGAGTAGGAGTGATAAGCCAGGCATGGAAAGTCACCTAGGCAGAAAGCCTTGGGTGCCTAGCCATGGACAGTTGCAGGGTGACCTATTCTCCCCTAGTATATCATGAGGTTTAGACCCCCTGTCTTTTCATATTGCAGGTCATGTGGTTCAGACCTTCCCCTGACCTTTACTTCCCTGGCCAGTCACTTCATGCGGGAGAACTCCTTGGAGGAATAACAGTGGGGCCAGAGAATAGCCTCGTCCGACTCAGACAAGCCCTTGCGCACCCACTCCAAGCACTAAGCCCTGGAGACAGCATCTAGGCCCCAGCTGTGTTTCAGCTCAGGCCCAGGAAAGCAGCAAGGCCAGGTGGGGCAGTACCAGGGCTGACATCAGGACCAGCTGCATTGACTACTGACCCTGTGCCCTGGCACTGATCCATCGGTAGAATCTATAATCCTGAAAGCACACATCTGGAAAGATGATAAATAGTCTGAGATCCTCTCCTGAGACCTCCAGATAAAACCCCTCAAGACAAAGACTCAATGTGCACTGTTTTCTCTCTGGAGCACACCCCACCTTTCCCACTCCCTTCTTCCCCAGGCATGTTACCTTTACCGTTCTTTCTCCTGAGCTCCAAGACCCTTCTTTTGCCTCCGTAACTTATTTCCTGAACCCATGCAGCCCAGTTGGCTCACTTCTGCCACCTCTTTGACTTTCTAAATAAACTTTTGCTTATCATTTGAGTTCCTTGGTTCTAAATTCTTTCCCAGCTGAACTCTAGAACCAAGGTTGCTGAACCGAGGTCTAACATCTGGTGCTGCTTTGCCAGTAGCAGATCAGTCCCATTATTGGTGATATGGACTGGCTGCTTGGTTAAAGCACTGTCTGCCTGGTTTCTCCACCATCAAGTTACTCTCTTTTCCATTGCAGTTAATAAATAATTTGTTGGGAGACCCATGTGTTTGCTCCCACTAGGGACTAGTCTCCCATTTCTTTTATGTACCTCTCTACCAGATTTCCTATAGCCCTGTCCTTCAGCAATCCTCTTCATAAGGCAAAATCCATGTTTAAATGAGTGATGAATCTTTTTCCTTAATTAATACTAACTTCTCAAGTGGTAAATTTTTAGGTAATAGTAATGGCTACTTTCTACTGAACAATGACCATGTGTGAGGCACTATTCTAAGTCGTTAGCATGTATGGACTCATTTAATCCTGACAGTCACCCTAATATGTAGGTACTATTACGAGGTCTCTTTCACAGATAACAACGGAGGTCTAGTGAGGAAAAGGAGCCTGCCCAGGGTCGCACAGCTGGTGGGTGGCTGAACTAGGACTTGAACCCAGGCACTGTGGCTTCAGAATCCCTGCTCCTAACCACAGTGCTATGCTACCTTCCTGTGTCTCCTTCTGCACCACCCCTGCCCTCACAGGAAGGCAGCACTGCTATTCTCTTGCTTATGTGTCTCTCTGTTTTCTTAAGTTATTTCTTAAGTTATTTCTATTCACCATTTGCAGGGGCAAGGTGGCTGCTTTAGGATTCTGACTTCTAAACCTGCCCCTGGGTGGTCTTTCAGAACAGACTTATCTTGGACTCCTAGCAGTCCATCCTCCACACCCCGAAGGCAAATGTGACTGCAGGGCCCCCCAGTGCCCAGGTTGGAAGCTCTGTAGAAAAGTCAGGTTTGTAACAAGGACCACAGCCCAGGGTTCCAGGTTCCATGTTAGCCTGGGGGCCCCCAGCCAGACACAGGGATGTTGCAAATTACTCTTCTTATCACTTTAGGACCAGGTTTTACCAGTGAGGTGTGAAGCACGATGCACCTAGGCCTGTCCTCTGGGAAGTGTGTGGTGAGGCTGAGGGCAGAGCTGAGAGGCAGGGCTACTTCCCTGTCTCATTGTTCCTTTTCCTTCTAGGTACCTGCGGGCTTCAGCGTGGCTGCCAGCGTCCGAATCGGGAATGCGCTGGGGGCCGGCAACACTGAGCGGGCCAAGAGGTGCTCGGTTGTCTCTGTGCTGGTCACAGGTGCTTTAGCCTTTTAGTCGGTGACTCACCTGAGCAGTCGCATGGGAAGACCAGGCCCTGTTCCCTGCAGACCTTCCTCACTGTGCGCTTCTCTGCCATTTACCCCCAGAACTCTTTGCGGTGACCTTTTGTGTCCTGCTGTTAAGCTGTAAGGACCTTGTGGGGTACATTTTCACCACCGACGGGTGAGTGCTGAGATTTTCGTGAAATGTGAAATCAGTGGTAAAGATGTGGTTGGGCAGATGCTCCTACGCTGGGCCTCCTGGGGTTTGCATCTTGGAAGGTTCTGGAGTCATTTGCAAAACCAGAAACTCACTGGTGTTACCTGGGAAGAACTGATTAGGTGAAGGAACTAATTTATAACCTAGAGTGCCAACTTCATGGGCACCGGTGGTGACGTCTGCTTCTGGTACTCAAGGTACTCATGTATTTGAAAGAAGGAAACTCCTCTTTGGCACCATCGACTACATTTTCAGTTAATTATTTTGTTCCAATGAAAAAAATCATGATATCTCAGAATTTGCCAGAGCAACTGGTTTTTAGTGTTTGCATAATATATATATATATATATATATATATATATATATATATACACATCTGTCAAACACAGTTGAATTTAAAATCTCACCAATGAGCTGTCTTTAAAAATTACATGGTCAGATTGATTACTGGACAATAAATCTGTCTGGTTGGAGTTGTTGCTGTCATCGGTGAGGCTAGTGCTGCATTTCTATGTAGCTATATTGTGGACTGCCTCTCATCTGGGACGTTTTTTATCAGTGATCACAAAATGCAGGTGGAGTGGACAGGACTAACTTTCACCATCTATCCTTCAGGCTGGTGTTAGGCTGTCATCTTTGGGTCTCGGCCACTTTGCTATGGGAACCCAAGGTGTCTAACTGATCGTCCTTTCAGAACGAGGGGGAAGGCAGCCGGAAGTCATTCTCGTTTTCTCAAAGGGGATCAGAATCCACTCTATCCGATGTGTATCCTGCCTTGATGGCTTCAGTAGGAACACGGTGGACATTTTATTCTGAATCTGTCCACTTCCAGAAGCCATGCAGAGCAGGAAAAAGAAGGAGAAGCGAGAGGCTCACAAACTATATCTCTGACGAAATTAGAAGACATTGAGAACTCGAAAAATGAAATGATCTGTAAGCAGGCCAGGACCATCTGAGACTAGCAGAATCCCCCACATAGACCCTAACAGTGACCCAGATTCCCGACCTGACCAAAGGGGAAGGGAGAGCACCTCTGGACGAAGGAAAAGGGACAGTTACAAAACAATCCTTTTTTAAAGTACAAGAGACTAGTTTGCATAACTTTGGCAAGTAAATTTAAAAATCTAGAAGGACTAAATAATTTTCTAGGAAAATAATTGATTAGAACTTACCCTAGAAAACATGGAAGGTCTAAAAAAACTGATTTCCTTAGAAGAAATAAGAAAATAATATTTATTATTTTAAAAAATCTTTTTTCCTTTATCGATTTTAGAGAGAGAGGAAGGGAGAGGGGGAGAGAGATAGAAACATCGATGAGCGAGAACATGGGTTGGCCGCCTCCTGCAGGCCCCCACTGATCGGGCCCACAACCGGGGCATGTGTCCTGACTGGGAATGGAACGGCGACCTCTTGGTGCATGGGTCCACGCTCAACCACTGAGCCACACTCTCCGGGCAGAAAAGATTATTTTAAAATGTCAAAATGATCAATCCTAGAGGGTTCTAAAGGAGGATTTTATAAAACCTTTAAAACTTAGGTAATTCCAATGCTGTCTGAATCGTTCCAGAAAGCAGAAAAAAAAAACTTTCCACGTTCTGTTAATGAAACAAATGTAACATTGGTAGTAAACTCTGAGAAGTTTAGCACAATAAAAAAAAAAAAGTCATAGCCCTGGCCGGTTTGGCTCAGTGGTTAGAGCGCTGGCCTGTGGTCCAGAGAGACCCGGGTTCGGTTCCGCTAAGGGCACGTACCTCGGTTGCAGTTTGTCCCCGGCCCTGGTTGGGTTGTGAGGGTGGCAGCCACTCGATGTGTCCCTTTCACGTCGACATTCCTCTCTCTCTCTCTCTCTCTCTTTCTCTCTCTCTCTCCCACTCTATCTGAACAAAATATATATATAAAAAAAGAAAGTCACAGACCACTAAAAAAAGTCACTTATTAATATCCATTTTAAAATCCAAAATAAAAATATTGGACAGAATTCAGCAGGACATTAAAAATGATATATTTTGTTGGAATATAAAATTAAATGGATTATATTATGTGGGAAAAGAAAAGTGCAGAACGTCATTTAGAGAATGCTACAAGCCCCGGCTGGTATGCCTCAGCAGTTAGTGTCGGCCCGTTGACTGAAGGGTCTCGGGTTCACTTCCCGGTCAAGGGCATGTACCTAGGTTGCAGATTCAATCCCAGCTCTGATTGTAGTTGTGTAGGAGGCAACCAATCGATGTGTCTCTCTCACATAGATGTTTCCCCCCTCTCTCTCTCTCCCTGCTCCTTCCCTTCTATCTAAAAATAACAGAAAAATATCCTCAGGTGAGGATTAACAAAAAGAAACAAAAAAACAGAGAGAGAGAAAATGCTATAATATGAAATAATAGAGTCTAGAAAGGAAGATATATATATATACTTTTTTGTATTTCCTTATTTTTCATAAACGCTGAACAATGCAGTCAGTGGTAGGAACTGTTGCCTGGTCGGCTTCTTCTTCATATTGTTTGATCTCTTTTAGCCATTTGCATATTACCTATTCAAAAAAAAAAAAAATTAAGTTTAAATAAAAGAACTATATTTTTGTCCTTTATTGGAGAGAGCAATCATCTTGCTCAGTGCTAGATTTCTTATCTATTAATTCATTCAACAAATATTTATTGCCAGACAGTGTTCTAGGTTTATTTATCCGTTACTCAAAGGTAGAATGAATCAATGCCTTCTCAGGTCATGGCAGCATTTTCTAGTCTCCCTTAGAGTTTAGGCATTAAAATCCAAGTCTCTAGCTTTAGAGGTTAGGGCCCTTGCTGGAGACCAAAGATAGTTCTGTGGACTGTATCTGTGGCCTTTATAACCTGCCAACCTCGGTTTCATAGAGTGAAACTTACCTCTTCCATTGTGCTTCCTTCAGAGGAACAGAAAGACCCACGTGGAGCTGGACCGTTTGCTTTAACAGTCTGCACTGACCAAATGGCCTTGAGATTTTTCTGAGCGTCAGGAGATACAATGTAGAGTTGGTTCCCCTGCGGGCCAAGGAACAGTGGCCTTGTCTCTGAGCAGGACGTTGGCTGGCGTGTGAGCCTCGGTTCACACGGCAGCTGAGCGCCCTCACCGGGGCCTGCAGTTGACTTCTGAACATCTGGCTCCTGATCACCCTGCGCTTTATTTTCCTATCAGGGAAATCATCGCTCTCGTGGCTCGCGTGGTTCCGATTTATGCTGTTTCCCACCTCTTTGAAGGTCTGGCTGTAAGTACTGTGCAGTAGCCCCTTAAGCACCTTTACAATCTGTGTGTTTCACCTGATGACGGCAACTGAAACGGAGTGGGGTAAGTAGTAACACTAAACAGTTTCAGAGTTGCTTTGCAAGAACACTGGCGTGGGGGAGTCCCGCGGGTGGGGCGGCCGGGACTGGGGCCTCCCGGGGCATCAGCACTGGCCCACCGCGACCCCGTCTGCCTGCAGTGCACCGGCGGCGGCATCCTCAGGGGCAGTGGGAACCAGAAGGTGGGAGCCATCTTCAACGTCATCGGGTACTATGTGATTGGTCTCCCCATCGGAATCTCGCTGATGTTTGCAACCAGCCTGGGAGTGCTGGGTAAGCTTTCACCGTGGGCAGGCGGAGCTGAGTTACTTGCAGCCCGGGAAACAACTCAGAGCTTGTAGGCTTTTGCTGAGAGCTCTGGAACTTTCCAGCTTTCCCACATTCATTCTGTGCCCCGCCAGAGAGCCCTGGCAGGGGGCGGGCGGCAGGCAGCAGAGGCCCAGGCTGCATGTTCACGCCCTTCTTGCCAGGTGGGCCCCCTTCCACACTCACATACCTGAGCAGAGTACTGGGCCCGGTCCACTCACCTCCTGTCCCGTGTCACTGAGGGCTCCCCTGCTCAAAGCTGGCTCCGGCTCTGCCCCTGGGGGACAGCCCGTGTGTGGCGAGACCCGGAGAGTGCGTCTGCAGGACTGGCTGAGGCCATGTAAACTGGCCATGTTTGGGACCAGGCAGGGAACGCCACCGGACAGCCTCCGCGTGATTCTCCCAGGACTGTGGGAGCATCTGTGGCGGCTGCATCCTGGAGGGCGTGCCCCGTCTTAGCCGTGCATTTGGAGGGATTCACGAGGGCCATGCATAGGGGGCGGTCCTGGGGCTCTCCCTGTCACCTTCACCCCGCTCTCAGCCTCCACCTCCAGCTGGCACGGCCTTGTAAGCCGTGTGTCTCGTGGGTCTTCCCATAGGGCCACGCGTGTGAGGTGTGTGAATGGCACAGAAGGAAGGCAGGGCTGGAGGGGACCGCTTTATCACTTTACTACATTTAGAGGAAAGAACTTAATCTACAGCATATGTAATTACCAGAGCTAATTTTTTTAAAAGTAGGGATAGAGCCCTGGCCAGTTTGGCTCAGAATTGGCCCTTGGACCAAAGCGCTGTGGGTTTGATTCCCAGTCAAGGGCATGTACCTGGGTTGCAGGTTCCATCCCTGGCCAGAGCTGGGGTCGCGTGGGAGGCAACCAATCAATGTATCTCTACTCTATCACATTAATGTTTCTCTCTCTCTCTCTATGCCTCCCTCCCTCCCACACTATCTAAAACTCAATGGAAAAATATCCTTGGGTGAGGATTAACAAAAAAAAAAGTAGGGAAAGGGAAAAAAAATGACTGCCTAGCTTTGATTTCTAAAATAATAATTTGGAATACATTCACAATTAATAAATGATTATATTAAAATTTGAACACATTATCTTTGGGTGAAGTTGTGGCTGACTTAACCATGGTTTGTTTTCATCTATCAGTACTTGGCAGGTTCGGAGGTGATGAGAAGTCATCTGATACCTAGAGTGAACTTGCAGGCCAGAGTGTCCCAGTAGGCTGCACATTTTTTTCTCAAGTTCAATAATATTTTAATGAAAAATACATGAGATGTACAAAGAATGGAGTCGCCAATGCAAAGTTCACTGGGCTTGCATCATGGTGCAGAAAAGCATTTAGCTGAGTTTCTGGCACTACTCATATTTTAGGTTTGATAAGGGCAGAGCTAAGGGAAATATTAGAGGAATCCACTTAAAAATATAGATGCATCTAATGTCCCAAGTGCTGTATTAGGCCCACTAATTTATTTAACAAGCATATCTACTACGTGCAGAGTACAGGCAGTTAAGAGTAACTTAATAGAAATCCTGGGGTACAAACTTACAGTTAGTTATAAAATTAGTAAATCATGGGGGTGTAATATACAGAATGGTGTCTATAGCTAATAATAATATATTGTATATTTGAAAGTTGGTAAGGGAGTATCTTATCATTATAAGAAAAACACTGTAACTATGTGAGGTTATGAATTTTTTTTTTTAATCCTCACCTGAGGATACTTTTTCTCTTTATCATTAGATAGAGTGGGAGGGAGGGGGGAGAAAGAGAGGGGGGAGAGAAACATCGACATGTAAGAGACATCACACATCAGGTGGTTGCCTCCTGCACAACCTGACCAGGGCCAGGGATGAAACTGCAACCGAGGTACATGCCTTTGACTGGACTTGAACCCATGACTCATTGGTCTGCTGGCCAAAGCTCTAACCACTGAGACACACTGGCCAGGGCTGAGGTGATGGATTTCACTAGACTTACTGTGGTGATCATTTCACAATACAGTTGACTCTTGAACAACATGGATTTGAACTGTGCAGTTTCAATTATATGTGGATTTTGTTCAAAAAATACAGTCAACCCTTCATATCCACAGATTTCGCATCTGTAGATTCAAGCAACCATGGATCAAAAATAGTATTTTTGTATTCTCAATAGCCGTTTCCTGACTGCAGATCAAAACTATTGTTTTCCATTCATGATTGGTTGAATCTGAGGATGCAAAGGGCCAACTGTGGTGAAGTTTTAGGGGCCTCAAAAATTACATGCAGATTTCGACTGCACAGGTAATCTGTGCCTTTAACCCCCACATTTTTCAAGGGTCAACTGTATATACAAATATTGAATCATTGTGTTGTATGCCTGAAACGAATATAACACTGTATGTTAGTTACATCTCAATAAAAAATGTTGGGGGCTCTGGGGGAGGGGCGGGCTCTGTAAGAAGACTGCAGTCGATCTCTGCCCCCACCACCTATAAGAGAAGTACAGTGCCAGCTGGTTTTGAGTGTGGCGCCACCTCTGGTGGGTTTCAGTACACCTGCCCCAGGTGCCCGGGGAGCATCGGAACGCCACAGGTCCCGTGGGCACCTCCAGCCAATCACAATGCCCTTCATGCTCTCTTGGGAGGCTTTTCAAATACACAAATTCCTGGGCCCTGCCTAAAATATTCTGATAATCATCCTGTTTTAGGGTCCTTAGGTTGAGTCAAACAGCAATTTTTAAAGAGTGTATAGTGAAATTCATAGAAATCTAGTTCATAACTTTCCAATTACAGCTGGAGATAGCTGGTTACATTCTGTTTAAGATGGTTAGGACTGGTCACATCTGCACATTTAAAATGTTCGTTCCCTTTTTTGTTTTGTTTGTTTTTAATCCTCACAGAGGATATTTCTCCATTAATTTTTCAGATAGAGTGGGAGGGAGGGAGGGAGAGGGGGAGAGAAAGAGAGAGAGAGAGAGCAATGTGAGAGAGACACATCAATCCGTTGCCTCCTGCATGACCCGACCAGGGCTGGGGACTGAACTGCCACCAAGGTAAGTGCCCTTGACCAGAATTGAACCCAAGACTCTTTGGTTCGTGGGCTGGCGCTCCTACGGCTGAGCCAAACCTGCCAGGACTTAGTTCCCTCTTTTGAATAAAATAGGGCATAATAGTTTGGTAGTACTATTTGAAATAGAAAGTTGTTCTAGAAATTTTGTTTCCTTATAACTGTCATTTTTCTTAATATGATTCTGAACATTTGTTCTGTGATCCAAAACCCCAAGAAGTAGCCTCAGGGAGCCCTGGGCCTCCCAGAACCTTCTCAAAACCAAAGGACAGAGCAGGATAGAGGTCACTGGCTCAGTGTCAGCCATGAAAGCAGATTCTGAGAGGTGAGACATGAGAAACATACTCCCCAACGGTGGCCAGTTCTCCACCGAATTAACCTGTTAACTATTTCCACTTCTAGGTCTGTGGTCAGGGATCACCATCTGTACCATGTGCCAAGCTGTGTGTTTTCTAGGCTTTGTCGCTCGGCTAAATTGGGAGAGAGCCTGTCAGCAGGTAACTTGCTCGCCGCTGTCCCAGTCAAGGCTCCTCTTCTAGAAAGAAACAGAACCCGCTTTGGCTCTCTCCCTGGCTCCCCTCCTCCTTTTTCTCATTTTGGAAGGTGTTTTGTTCTTTTTATCACAGATGCTACTCTTTTGTTGTTATTGTTTTAATTGTATGTAATTCAGACTCAAATTGTATTCATAAATGTATGAATTCAGATTGCTTTACCTATCCCCCTTTGTTTATTCATTGAATATAAAAATAGGGGGTTCCACTGGGCTGGTGTGGCTCAGTGGTTGAGCATAGACCCCTGCACCAAGAAGTCGCCAGTTTGATTCCTGGTCAGGGCACATGTCCAGGTTGTGGGCCAAATCCCCAGTGTGGGGTGTGCCGGAGGCAGCCAATTGCTGTTCTCTCTCATCAATGTTTCTCTCTCTCTCTCTCCCTTTCTCTTCAGCTCTCTCTAAAAATCAATAAAGAAAAAAAAATAGGGGGTTCCTTTTATCCTAGATCCCATGCTAGGCTACCTCCCTTGTGTCTGAAAAGCCAATTTCAGGACAACAATTTGGAACTGGAAGGGTGGTATGCCATCAAATTTATACTGATACTGTTTTCATGATTCCAAAATATTCCGTTAAGATACTTGTGTGTGTGTTTCTCTCCAACTTTCTAAGGTCAATGTGGGTGATAGATGTTGAGATGCAGGAAAGAGAAAAGAGACTCTAAAGGATCTTGGGCCCCATCTTCCCCTTGTGCTTTTCCATCCAACCTCCCCCCACCCGCACACCCCATGTCAATCATTATGAAAGACGGTTCCACGCTCGCGAACTAGAGAAGCCCCAGTGCTACATGTCGATGAAGGAAAAGGGCTTGGATTCCCCTAAGCTGGGTGGTCAGGTCAGATATTTTAACTACACTGTGGTACAGCCTGTGGATTTACTTTGCATTTCATCTTGTAGGCTCAGGTACATGCCAATATGAAACTAACTATGGCCCAGGACGGGACTTTTCCTGCTCAGGACTTACTTTGCCCAGGTATGATATAACTGGAACAGCCTCTCTAGGTGGTCCTGGAGGGGTCATTTGTGGGACACAACTAGCTTTGCTACTCTGAGCTCCCATTTCAATAGGGCAAGGAACACCCAATTTGAGGCAAACAGACTTGAGGTTCATTTGCTCTAACTCCAGACATTAACACACTGCTATAGATGATTACAGACACAGGTAGCCACTTCCTGGCTAATGTATGGTCCACTCTGGGACATTTCCAATGCTTGGTGATCCTGTGCTTTGACCTTATCTTAGAAACTGACATTTGTATGTTTGTTTCAGTGGGGTTTTCCTGTTCATCAGGCTAACATGGGCTTTAAACAGATTGTTTTAATTGCTGCTTCTGATAAATATGCAAACGTCTTTATTATTTTCCTTCTGTCAGGTTAGTAATCCCTAAAGTTCCAGTTCCTGAGGCATTTGTCATGCACTCACACTAGATCTTCTGCTCCTTTATAACAGAATACTTTTGAGTTCATAGATTGGCTGGATTACAATCAGTGGCTGCATATCTCATTCGTATTGTCTAGTCTCCCATGTGCCTGGTTATTTCTGATTGTGTTCCAGACATTTTGTATTTGGAAATTGTTTGTCGAAGGAATTTGAGGCCCAAGGTGATATTGTCTGTCTGCAGAGAGGATTTTCCTTTGCTTATAACACTCAGGGTTACCAGCAGTCCAGAGCAATTTCAGAAATGGAAGTTTCTGGACCACCTTGCTGACCCAAAGGTGACCAGTGTAAGGGCTGGTTTACTTCTAGTTCACCCTTAATTCTTGGACGCAGCCCTTCAGCATTCCACCCTGACATACAGAGGGGTTTATGTTGGAAGGTGCTGAGCTCTCCAAAATATTACTCTGTCCAGATGGGCAACTCTCAGGTCAAAAATGGCCCCAAATCCTGGCTTACTTGTTTGGGTTCCCACCTTCCCCTAGATCTTGCCCTGGTGACTGACTTCATTGTTAGTGCTTGGACACCTCCAAGAGGATATTCTTCATCTGTTTTATCCAGCTTTCATAATCATCTCCAGAGAAGAGGCTGGTCCAAGGTTTTGCTATTCACCATTTGTAAAAGGCCGGGATACTAATAGTACTTACCTCACACTACTGTTGTGAGAGCTCGGTGGGTTCACCCATGTGAAGTGCCTGTTGCAAAGTAAGCATTTTGTAAGTGCGAGAAGATAGTATTCTACTCAAAATTATTTTCTCTCAGAACTCGAGGGCACTGTAGTATTCCTCATACCCGTTCATGCTTGTTAAGGAGTCAATGCCAGTCTTGTTCTTGTTCTGTTAGGTTATCTGCCTTTATTTGTCTCTTGGGAAGCTTTTAGGATATTTTTTTTCTTCTTACTCTTCTGAAGTAGCATGATAGTAAATCTAGGTCTGAGTCACCGTCCCGTCGGGTACTCAGCAGGCCTCTGGCGAGCAGATTTACCTCCGTCTTCAGTTATGCGAATGGCCTTGAATTATTTCTTAGGTTATTTTTCTCCCCTCTTGGCCTGTTCTCTTTCTGAAATGATTACATAGGTGTTGGCCCCTTGAAAATTTCTCCTATGAGTCTGAATTTGGAGAGCCACGGCATTTCTCTGTTCTGGCGCGGGGAGGACTCCCTGCAGCAGCAGCACCCAGCAGTGTTTGCTGTACACAGAGTTTCTTCCATTTACCGAGCAGAGCAACTGCTCCCGAATAAACTTTCTCCCAGCTGGTAACACATAATATACACCACCCATTATGTATCGTTCTTACTGATGGAAAAAATCCTTTTAAGCTAACTAAGTTCCTTTCCCCCTCAGTGGGCCCTGAAAACCATGGAGAAATTTTAATGAGAGATATTGAAAAAAAAGATGAGACCCAGTTGGATCAGCAGTTGCACCAAGAAGAACGTCTTCCGGTCCATCCAAGGGACCTGACCGCGCTGACCGGGAGACAGCTGGTGCTGCGGCGAGGTCTCCTGCTCCTCGGGGTCACTGCCGTCCTGCTGGTGGGGATTTTAGTGAGAGTATATGTCAGAATTTAGTGATGTGGCAAGAGAGAGTCAGGTCAAGTGATACTTTTGAGCTCACAGCAAATAATTCATAGACCCAAAGGTAGGAATTTGTTTTCAGTTAAGGTAATTTAACCATGCTCATGGATTTCAATAATCAAAATTTCAAAGATATATTTTCTAATGAAGAACATGAACTATGTTCTAGTCCAAGACAATGTCCAAAAGATTACATTAGAGTAATAACTCATTCATCACTGCCTCAGCCAAGGACCACTGTGTACTGACCACATTCATCTATGGTTTTCATAGTCTGCTTACTTTTTTATTAGATGCAAACCCATGTACTGAGTGCTTAAGGATTGTTGCTATCTGAATTATTTAAAATATATGTTACAGCCTGGCTGGTGTGGCTCAGTGGTTCAGTGTCAAACCATGCACCAAGAGGTCACCAGTTCAATTCCCAGTCAGGGCACACGCCCAGGTTGTGGGCCAAATACCCAGTGGGGGGCATGCAGGAGGCATCCAATTGATGTTCTCTCTCATCAATGTTTCTATTTCTTTCTCTCTCCCTTTTCCTTCCTCTCTCTCTAAAGTCAATAAAGAAAAAAATTTAAACATATGTTACAATGTATCTCTCCTTGTGCCTTAGATTATTATTCAGTGGGAAATGACATTAGTTCGTATTCATCTGCAGTCAGATCTCAGGCACTGAGGGCACTGGAGATGCTTAAGAAGTGGGAAGAGGAAAGAGGTTATTCAGAAGAAAGGAGTCCGAGGGCATCTCTGAGCATGTCTCCCATCGGGGGCCTGTCACAGCACCCATCTCAACTGGCATGGACGGCAGCGGTTAGAGGGATAAAGCTGCAGACCAAGCCCCCCTGGGAACCAGTACCTTCATTTTTTCTAGAGTGGTGAGCACCCCGCAGAGGGAGACAAGGGGTTCGGAGAGCTGACTGGAGGAAGTTAGGCCTTTCCCCGTCTTGATGGATAGAAGGGATGATAAAGTTGGCAGGTAGCAGAAATGCTGGGAGAGCAGGGGCTGGGTCCTGGTGGGCCCTGTTATCTTCTGTCTGGGTCTGTTCTTGTCTTCAAAAAGGCACAGGCTTTGGCGGCTTACATGGTTTTATGTGAGGTCATGTCTCAGAAAAGGAAGTGTTATGAATGCTCCATTTTCCCTGGCCCTAGAAAATATTTGGGGAAATCTTTGGAGCTGTAGGAAGGCAAAGGACCCCTGCGAAATTGACCTGGTGGGTGGGTGGGTGGGTGTCGGGGGAGGGAGGGGTCGGAGGACAAGGGCCTCAGTCCCAGCGGTAGAGTGAGCGGTAATACCTGCATTCAGTCTTCTGGGGCCAGGTCCACACCCTGAGCACAGTAGCTTCAGGACAAACTCAGGACGAACTCAGCACGCTGGTTGCTGGGATGGATACAGAACCAGGCAGGGCCTCTGCCCTGAAATGGACAGAATCAGAAAAGTCAGCTAAGCTGAGTAAAAACTCCTAACAGCACCTTTTGGCCAGGTCCACCTTCAGGCATGTCTACCCTCAGCGCTTCTCTCTGGGCCTGGAAGTGGAGGGTTGCTTACTCTGCAGGGAACCAAGGCCACTGAATCGGCTCCCAGCGGGGCCCCAGCGACGCCCCCTCTTCCAGCCCTCTGTTGGGAAGCCCACGCACCCACCTTCATGCCGCCCCACTGCACACCCCTGGCCTTCCTCAGCTTCCTCACACTGCCTGCCCTTCCCGCCTGGCGGCAGCCCTGGGGCAGGAGGCTGCGGCGACCGGCGACCTGCTGCCAGGCGGTGCTGGCCAGGAGCCCCCCGCAGCGGGAGGGAGAATGTCGCCCGAAATGCCAGCCAAGTGCTCTGGGGAGCGAGGAAGGATGGATGACCCCCTTTCAGCACGTTTTGTTTTCCTAGAAAGGACTCCCTGCCTCTCCCCGCCCCCTGCGCCATACCCCTGCCTTCTGCCCCGTGAGGAGACCCCGGTCCAGGGGATGCCATCGCTCCTCTCACTTGGTGGGGCGTCCCGCAAGATGGGTCTAACTGCTGCTCCCCCTTTTCCTGCGCAGCCGGGCACAGCTGGTGATCTTACCGGCATCCTATTCGGTGGACATCTGGGGAAAGTCCGGCTATATCGGCAGGATTTTAAGTGTTTGTCTATTTTATTTGGGCTGACAAGATGGTAAGTGTCCGATGGCCTGGGGACTGGCGCCAGGCAAAGTGCTCGACCATTGTCTCACTTGCTCAGCCTTGCCTCCCACCCTGAACGCCTCGAGCTTGTAGACTAACTCCCATCTTGCTCTTATCGATTCACATTCCAGAGGCTCCATGCACAGCCCCCGCAGGGCCAAACCCTAAGGGACAAATTCCAGCTGCAACAGGCAGATATAAAAGACACAAGCCCCTACATTGAGCAGAGAAGAGACTGGAGAGCCAATCAGCCGAATAAACAGGGATCAGGCTTTATTGGGTGCACTCCGGGCGGGTTCACAGACTCTGGGGGTCCAGTCCTAGAAGCCGCACTCAATGTAGGGGCTTGTGTCTTATATCTGCCTGTTGCAGCTGGAATTTGTCCCTTAGGGTTTGGCCCTGCGGGGGGCTATGCATGGAGCCTCTGGAACGTGAATCGATAAGAGCAAGATGGGAGTTAATCTACAAGCTCGAGGCCGGCCGTTCAGGGTGGGAGGCAAGGCTGAGCAAGGAGACAGTGGTCGAGCACTTTGCCTGGCGCCAGTCCCCAGGCCATCGGACAGTGGCCAGGCTCTAACTACAGGGGGGCCAGGTATTGCAAGGAATTTGTAGCAATTAGGTAAAATTAAAGAGCTGCAGTTTTTCCCAGCATGAAGTTAAACCAAAGAACTTTTAGGTAATCTGGTCAACTGCTAATAATTTGCTTTACGCAGTGCGTTAAGGTCGCACTGTCTCATCCTTGCTGTCGTGTCTCCCTTCAGCCATGGACTGAATTACAACAGTTCTTTCTTCCTGGTTTTGTGGTTGGCGATGTAGTGGAAAGTTGCATCCAGGCTTTCACAGATGAAAAAACTCTTCCTGCTGGTGATGGCAGGTGATTTTTCCCAGGCTCAGAAAATATCCCACTGAGCCCTGGCTGGGTAGCTCAGTTGGTTGGAGTGTCATCCCAATACACCATAATTGTAGCTTCGATCTCTGGTCAGGGCACATACAAGAATCAGCCAATGAAATTTTTCTTCATTAAGACTGTTATAGCTCACTATCCTTGGAATTCAATAAAGAAAAACCAACTTGTCTTTGAGCTGCCCTAATTAACAACCTCAGGGACAACAAGAGAAACAATGAGGATGTTATAGAGGGCTTTAGCCCCATACAAATTAACCAGAGTTTGACCTTCACTGGGAATTTGAAAAGCAACGTCCTTCAGGAAAAGGGAGGACAGAAACGGCCCCAAGGCCAGAGTGTCCTGCATGCTCTGTAAAGAAACTGATAGGGAGAAACCGAAGCTCCCTTTACCCCATAAAACTGTAACTATTAAAAATATATGTATTGCACCTGGCTAACCACTGATATCCATCTCGAATTTTAGTTTTTAAAACTTAGATAATGGAATGAATAGCAGGATAGATGTGTGCTGACCCAGTTCACCCAGTTCCCTTTTGCCTCAGCTCCCTCCCATCTCTGTTCCCTCCTGCTTATCGCTAACTGCCTCTGCTTCTGTACAGGTAGCTTGCTTGCTCTGCTAAACTCTTGAGTGACCCCTGTCCTGTATAAGCAGCCCTCCCCCTCAGTTGGGGCTGCAGTTCTCCTCTGTGTAGGTTGGCTGCAGTCCCTGTGCAGGTAATAAAGCTCACCTTTAATTCACCCAACTTTGTATCCCAGTGAGGTTGACTCTCCTGGGTTACAACATTTGGAGGCCCCAGCGAGATCAACCGCGAGGTCCCCCACTCTAAGGGGTTGACCTCCTCAGAATAGGTGGAAGGAGCCTGCACATCCTCTGCCTCTACATTTCGATTGGGTTTGGAGCTTTCTGTTTCCGGGACAATTTGGTAAGGGGAATCCCCTTTTGTCTGCCTGTCAGTGCCTCGAGGCATTTGGTGGTGTTGCGGGCAGGACGCCGCACCCACTGCATCACCCTGGTCAGAACAGGACGCTGTTCTCTGGCTGTTGTTTCGTTCTGCTCTGCAGTACCAAGTTGGTTTGGTGAATGAATGGAATCACCCGCGGTGTAGTGTAATCTTTGTTCGTGTTTCTTGTTTTGTGTTTTCATTGCCTTCTGCCTTCCAGGATGGGACAAGGAAGCCCCCCCCGCCCAATGTGTGCTTGCTAACTTTTCTGGTGTCTTTAAGCGCTGGTGCGACTACGGGAAGCCCGCGGACCCAGGGTTCCTCCACGCTCTGTGCGAACTCGAGCGGCTACTTTCCAAGTAGACTGGCCATCAGAGGGCTCGTTTGACCTGTCCCTCCTGTTTGCAGTGCGATCGGTAGTTTATAAGGTCCCCCACCCTGACCAACGGGTTTATACTGATGTATGGATTGATGCAGTCTCAGATGGGCCTAGCTATATCAAGAAATGCCAGGTGGGCCCGTCGCAAAAGAAAATTAAAGCAAAGATAGTGGGAAACACCATTTTTGTAGCAGCTCCGAAGCCCCGGAGACCAGAAAAGAAAAACCCTAGTCTTCCAGAGAAGGGCAAAAAGGCTGATGAGCCACCTCCCCGAAACCGGCTTTACCCGGTGCTGTCGGGGGCCCTGAGGATATCTTAGAGGAAGCCCTCAATCCGCCCGAAACCAGCTTTACCCGGTGCTGTCGGGGGACCCTGAGGATATCTTAGAGGAAGCCCTCAATCCGCCCCGTATCCTCAGGCGCCTCCACCACCGCCCAACCCCCGGCGGCACCAAGCCCCTCGGGCCACAATTAGCCCTGGCATGGGAAAGTCCTCCCCACACGAGAGGAGGCTCTCAATGTGGACTAGAGGAAAGGAAAAACAGTTTTGTTAACAATGCCTCCGCCTGCCCGGAAGGACAGTTAACTCCTCCCAGCCCCCCGAGGAAATTCTATCCAGTCCTTCAGGACCCCCCTTGAGGATATACTAAAATGTTAATTAACCGGAGAAGGGCCTTGAGAACCCCCCCCAAAATATAAAGATAAGG